ATGTTGATTCATTTACATGTTCAATACAATGAATATACACCATTTGTTGTACTTGATGAATTGGGATTCCCCCCCTACTTTATTATGACATACTGTATTTTTTCTTCTTCTAGGGGCAGGAATCTTTGTTACAACAGTGGTAGCTGGGAGCATTGCTCTGATTAAACCTTTCACTGTGGCATCCCGTCCATTCCTTCGCGATGTCATTTTCTACATGGCGGCTGTATTTTGGACCTTCAGCATCCTATACAAAGGCCACATTTCCATGGGAGAAGCCGTGGGTCTGATCACCATTATTCATTTACCCAAAATTGACACATTTATGTAGTAGAATATATGGTTACCAGTTCAAATGTTAATATTTCAAATTTTTGGAAGAAATATATGACTATGTGTCTAACATTTGTCTCTTTTGCCACTTTTTTTCTCTTATCTGCAGGTTATCTGGGGTTGTATATTGCATATGTTTTGACTGTGATTGTGAGTGCATATGTTTACAATCGTCAGAAGCATCAACTAAATGAATCGGCACAGAGCTCAGGCAGAGAACACGGTGAGGAGACATTCCAGTTTTTGGCAGCACTGAGCCTGTTATTCCAAAAACACATCACACACATTTTACCCTCTTAAAGTCTCATTACAATTTCTCAATTGGGAGCATCGATTATTTGTTATTATCTGGTTTTAAGTTAAATAAATGTTAAAATGTGTTGTAATGTCATGTAACTATTGTTTTTTGGTTTTCAAAATATGAACAACTAAGCTGTCTGACATGTTGAATATTAATTTTATTTTGCCCTATTTACACATTCATACAAAGCTCAGTCAGAACTTTTATCTAAATAAAGTGTTATTGTAGTTTATGAAATAAAATACATGCTGTTTGACTAATAACAGTGTTAGTGAGCAGAGATTAATGAGTGCTGTTTTTGACTTGTAGAAGAGATTCTCCCGTCTGATTCATTTAGAGAAACTCAGAGTGGCAACATACAAGCAGACGGTGGGTCACTTCCTCTCAACTTAAAACTATGTTGGCTAACTTAATAGCTGGAGTTTCCATGGGTTATGTAGGTGTGTGGTTGTTTTAAACTCCACAAACTTTCATAAATATGTTTTGCAAGTGTGTGTTCCCATCTGCTTAGTTAAAGGGATAGTTCACCCCAAAATGAAAATTCTTTCAGCAAATACTCACTCTCGTGTTATTCCAAACCTCGCAAGACTTTCGTATATCTTCGGAACACAGATTAAGATATTTTTGATTAATTCTGAGAGCTGTCTCACTCCTCCATAGGCTTCTAAGGGATTGAAACTTGCCGGCCCAGAAAAGTTTCAATCCCTTTCAAGTGTCAATCCCTTAAGCCTATGGAGGAGTGAGACAGCTCTCAGAATTAATCAAAAGTATCTTAATTTGTGTTCCAAGATGAGTAAAAGTATTACGGGGTTGGAACAACATGAGAGTGAGTAATTACTGACAGAATTTTTATTTTGGTGTGAACCACCCCTTTAACAGTGAAAGATATGTTTGCATCTTTGAGGAAGTTCTGTATGGTGTGAAAGTGTTGCTTTCCGCCCAGACATTACATGTTATGGCTTGACTGGCTTTGAAATGCCACTCTTCATCATGTTTCTTTCATAATTCAGAATGTGCATGTGTGTGTGATTCTTACATGTATGTTTCAGATGGAGAAGAGTATGAGCCTTTGCTGCCTTACAATCAATCTACTGCTCAGATCTTCCTGAATGCTATTAACCCAGTGGACAGCCGGACCTGGAGGGGACGGCACTGGAGTTCCAGAGTCCTCAAAGTGATCAAGGTGAAAATCTGAACGTTTCATGATCACTTCCTGGTTCTAAATGAGTGAATGTTCCTCTAGTAACCTCTTTTTTAAATTGTCCAATTGGTGCATGGTGGGAACTTTATATACATGCATATGTTGTTTTAAAGTCACAATGAAATCATAGAACATTCTTTGAATATTTTTATAGAATATTGCAATAAGTCCCCTTCCTCTTGCAATGACGTCTCTTTGATGAGGCGCAAGATGGGACAATCTGTCTCATATGGGATAACAGCAATAGCAAACCAGAACCATCTAATTAATTCCTGATGGCCAAAATGCACAAGTCCCGCCCTACATTTTATTCTTGTTCAAGAAGCCGTTTTACTTTCCTTTTCATGCCAACTTTAAGGTGAAGTTCCTTTTTTCCTGTCTTTCGGACTGTGTTAGGTGCCTGTAGAAGTGCTGTTATTGTTGACCGTTCCTGTGGTGGACACAGATAAGGAGGATCACAACTGGAAACGGCCTCTTAACTGTCTGCATATAATCACTGGGCCTCTGGTGTGTGTGCTCATATTCCAGTCTGGAAAGTGTGAGTCGGCTTGTTTTTTTTTAACCATAAGAAAAAAACGGTGTAACGGCAGTCTTTTATGTTATGTGCGCATATAAGGTACTGTTATGTCACCCCTATATGCAGTCATTAGAACGGCCAGAGGAACTGAAATTCCTCTTGTATGCAAAAAGATAAATGCTGTTAATGCAGGCAGATATTGTGTAATCACTTCACGTTCTGTAACGTGCATATGATTAAAAGAGACGTTCATTCTTTTTCATTCAAGATGGCTTATACCTCATTGAAGGAGAATTTCCTGTCTGGGTGCTTACAGTCTGCATTGGAGTCTTCCTCTCAGCCGTCGTCTTCTTCACTACCACAAATGATCATCCTCCTAGTTATCACTTTGTATGAATCTTTAGTTCTGTCTGCTTTTTATTTTGGTTGAAATATGCTGCCAATATAAAGCGTCATAGCTCACATGCATATTTGCAGTAATGTACACTACTGTTCAAAGGTTTTAAACTTAACAAATAGTATTCATTTATTTGATCAAAAATACAATAAAAATAATTTACATGAACTGTTTTAATATATTGAAATATTTCAAATGGAATTGAATAATGATGATCATTTAATAATAATAATTCTTAAATGTAATTTAAAATGATATTTCCTGTAAAGGCAAAGCTGAATTTTCTATGTGTATGTGTAGCTCTATTCATTGCTAGGTTTTGTGGTCAGTGCTCTGTGGATCAGCTCTGTGGCGGCTGAGATTGTCAGTGTGCTGCATCTGCTGGGGATTGTTCTCAGACTCAGCAACACTGTACTGGGACTCACCTTGTTAGCCTGGGGCAACAGCATCGGAGGTACATACCCATTCACAACATAAATTCACACGTGGCACATTGTCTTCCTATTATTTTTTGCTCATAGCCAGTTGTAGGACCCGAAGTGAAAGTAAAAAAGATTTTGCAACTACAAGATAGTATTGTTTAAATATTTTGTTGGCACTGTTAAGTACTAATGGTAATTTATGTGTTAGTTTTTTTTTTACAGATAACTTTTAATACTTTAAAGGATCACCAGTAGGACATTATACAGTGTAATGTAATTACATCTGTTAGACCAGATAATATGTTTGTGTTTTCACAGATTGCTTTGCAGACATTACTATAGCCCGTAAGGGATACCCACGGATGGCTATCTCAGCCTGTTTTGGTGGCATTATCTTTAGTATCCTTTTGCATAAAAGTTTTCCTTTTTGTGTATGTGGTTTAACTATATCAATAGTTGACCGAATTGTAAATATCCAGAGTGTGTTTTGTATGCCTTTAACATTGCATAAAGATATGCTGTTTGGTGTAGGTCTGGGCTGCCTGCTGCAAATGTTTCAGAATAATAACGTTGTGATGGTATGCCTCACACTCTATACACAATGCATGTCTGGATGCTATCTGCTTTACAATCTTCTGGCATTTACTTGAGAATGTGTTGCAAGCTTTTAATCAGCTGAATATTAGTTTAAATGAGTAATGGAGTTTGATGTGTGTTCTGTTGTATGTTTAGCTGGAACCAGAGGGGGTGCTGTGCTGGGTTCTCTCAGGAGCGCTGGGTCTGTCTCTGGTCCTCTCCTTCATACTGGTTCCTCTTCAGTGTTTCCACCTGAACAGAGTCTATGGCATTTTTCTATTGATCTTCTACATTGTCTTCCTCATCGTCGCCCTCCTCACCGAATTTAGAATTATCCAATTTTGACATCGGGAGAAACATTAACCGGATGGATGCAAATATCTTAAGAGTTTCATAGAAATATATTTAAGAATATATATTTTTTTGTAAATGCACATGTGTTTGAAGATCATGAGCCACTAATTACTGTACAGTTAAATTGTTTTCAATCAACTATAATGTTGAATCATGAGATTAAAATGTATTTTATTAAACAGATCATTTGCAAATTTATGTGATGTAGGGTTGTCTCTTTTTCTTAAGCAAATACTTACGAAAATTAAAGGGATAGTTCACCCAAAAATGAAAATTCTGTCAGTAATTTCTCACCCTCTTGTTGTTCCAACCCCGTGAGACATTTGTTCATCTTTGGATTATTTTAATGATTTCTTTAATAACTTTTCTGGGCCGGCAAGTTTCAATCCCTTAGAAGCCTATGGAGTGATCCAGCTCTCAGATTTAGTCAAAAATATCTTAATTTGTGTTCTAAAGATGAACGAAAGTCTCACAGGATTGAAATGACATGAGAGTGAGTAATTACTGACAGAATTTTCATTTTTCGTTGAACCATCATGATTCCAAAACCATAGTAAATATAGTTAAACCAAACCACTGTAACCACAAATTCACAATTTTTACACAAATATAGAGTACAACTAATTTTTATTTTCTATAGCTTAAAATATGTATGTATGTATATTGGTCTGTTTGTTTGAAGTAAAACTGGTTATACAATCCACCAAAAAAAAAAAAAAACATGATGAACTGAGACGAGAAATGTGTACTTAATTATGTAGTTGTTGTACTCTTAAAATATATCGCTTGAATGTCATGTCTACGTGACCGACGTCTCCTGAATGGGTGTCATCTGTGAGTGTCGTTGTTGAAGTAGCTGTAGTAATCGCTCCAGACCATGATGTGGCAGTGTCGCTCCAGCGCTCTTACTGAGCCTGAGCGCAGAGCCGTCCGAAGCTGTTTTTAAGTAGGCTGAGGTTACCTAGCAGAGAAATTCAATCCCTGTTTACCTGTAACATACAGACAGGTAGAAATTAGGCCAACCTCAAGACTTGACCCGTTAGGGTTATTATTTGATTCACATACATTTTCTTTGGTTGGCACGAGCGATGTCAGGCAGTTGCGGGCGGAATCCTCCTCCTTTCCCTGAAAATGAAGATCAGGAGGGTGAATTAGACACTCGAGTGCTGGACAGCGACGAGTACGATGATGAAGGCGAGGACATATTCACCGGCGCGAGAGTGAGACACCTGTTTCTCAATGAATAACCTTTTTTCATCATCTGGTGAATTGATATGTGGGAATATTTAAGTGTCATTTGACAGAAGCTAGCTGATAGCGTATTCAATGTCGGCAGCGCTTAATAATGCTGCTCAACAGACGCACGAACTGTAATTATGTCACGGTTATCAGCTGTTATTGTGACAATGTGTTTGTCTCTTTGCAGAGTAAACCGATCACACCGACATCAGCTCCTGATGAGGGCGATATCTTCAGTGAGGAGGGCTCTTACATCAGGACCGATGTCCATCACGCAACTAATGGCCTTCACTCTGATGAAGAGCTGGATCTGTTCACTGGTATTTCTCACCACTCCATTGCTGCTCCATTACTCCAAAACGAGCAATACATATTTAATGACATGTAATTTTGCATGCAGGCTCGATGGCAACTGAACTGCTTTCTGGAGTCTATCTTAAAATAGCATGACAGTGAAACGCCGATTATGTAAAGATGCTTAATCTGAGGAGTAAAAAAAATACTGAGAATTTTTAATTAAGGTAAAGTACAGTTACAAGTCAAAAAAAAAAAAAAAAAAAAAAACAACAAAAAAACAAAACAAAGAAAACATCACTTAAAACTATTACCGGTAAGTACCTACTACCTAGCCTAAATAGTTTGGAGAAAGTACGAACGTACTACCCACAATTAATTTTTATGCAAGATTTAAAACCAAACCTAAAACTTTAATAGCCCTGTCAAAAATCACTTGATCTAACTACGTAGGAAACTAGGATTGAGCCGATGTTAGATAGATTATGTGTGCATGATTCTTGACTGGCTTGTTAGTCACATTAGGATAATATACTGTATATTTAAATCACCGAGGAAAGCTTTAGGTTACAATGACATGCATGTCATTTGTAATTTTAAGCCAATTGTAATAGAGTAAAAAGTTTTTTTTTTCTTCTTGTAAATATAACTGAATAAACATTCAAGTTCTTGCTTTTAACAGAACGCAAGTAAATTACAGATTCCTCAAAATACAACTATACTAAAATATAGTGAAGTACCATTACTTAAATACATTACACCACTGTGCTTTATCTGTTCTTTCTGTTCAAACTCCAGAGGCCACTGTCGAACTGACACTCACCAACACCACAAGTCAAGGCAGGAGAGAGATTATTGGCCCGACTGCATCGGCTTGCAACACCTCACATGTCCCTAATTCCATACTCAAATCCAGCATTGTCACCAAGAACATGGAGGAGGTACTGAAACAAGACCTGTCATGTGCCTTCATTTGCATTAATGTATTATTTATGTATGTATTCTCATTTCTAACTGAATGCTGATGGACTTTTAACAGTTGGAGGAGGAAGAGAGTGGAGACCAGTTTGAGCTGAACATCTCAGTCACAAACCCTGAGAAAATTGGTATCTTATCCACCTTATTTTTCAATGCAGAAGTAAGCGATTTTCAGTGAATGTGCAAGACTTCTGATTCATCATCCACTTTAGGTAAACAACTAGAAGAATATCTTTTGGTACATTTAAATAGCATGATAACAAATAGCAGTTTGCAAGCAGCATAATGGACTATTTTTGTACAGCTAAAAGAAAACAGCTATAAACAAATAATAATTATAAAACAGAAGACAACAGAAGCCTTACACATTCAAGTTACAAATGTTAGTGCCTACGCTTGCGTAAAAGAATGCTCTCTAGTTCTGGCTGATGTCTTCAGAGCTTCTCAACCAGTTGCCCAGTAGGGGGCCTCAGCAAACTTCCAAAGGAGTGTTTAAAAAAAAGTTTATTTATTTATTACATTTTAGAATTATTTGTATTGAAATATTTGAACTTAATTAAAATGCTAAATATGTTGTTTATAGAACATACAGTTCTTCTGAATAATTTCAGACACTTCTGAAATAAAAACATTAATTATAAATAACAATTTACCTATTGACACTCATAGAAAACAAGCAGGATTGTCATTATTACCGCAGTAGTACCTGGAAATATCTTAGCCTCGATGGGTGGGCCTTAAAATATTTCCTTGGACAATGTGGAGTGAAAAGGTCACGAACCACTGGTCGAACCTCTTGTTCTGAATGTTCAGTTGAGAGCTATAGTGACTGTGTGTTTTTTTTTTACATCATTGTGTTGCAGGAGATGGAATGAATGCCTACATGTCTTACAAAGTTTCAACTCAGGTACATAAAAGCTTTTCCTTATTACAATTTTTTTTTTTGGATTGCTCAAGCTTTATATATCAGCATATTTCCTTTTCCTATGCTTCTCTGTCTCTCTCCAGACTACACTGCCTATGTTCCACAATAAGACGTTCACAGTGCGTCGACGTTTCAGTGATTTCCTGGGACTTTATGAGAAGATGTCAGCCAAACATTCCTTGCTGGGCTGCATCATCCCACCTCCACCTCAGAAGAGCGTTGTGGGTAAAGAAGCTCTCATGGTCACTCTGGCTCTGCCTAGTGCAAGGGTTGGCAACGTCGGTCCGGACTCCGGAGTTTAGCTCCAATCCTAACAAAACACACCTGAACAAGCTAATCAATTTCTTCAGGATTACTAGTGGTGCGTTCACTTCATGTGCTATGGTAATTATGGTAAATACCAAAAGCCGACGTGGAAAATGCACATGGACACCCCCTCATGTGGTATGTACCATTGGGCAACTCGTAGAATGTTTTGATGGACGAGTTGCCGAGATGAGATAAACTTTGACCTTTTCAAAATGGCGGAGAGCACCGCGAGAGTCGTGAATGGTAAAAATATATATATATGATCTAGAAAATATACAACATGTTATTTACCTTTTGAGTTATGATAAATCATTTTCTTGCTATTGCAGATGACTTAAGCAATCTAAAATAGTTTTATCTAAATAACATGTTTGGATCTCCATCTTTTTACCACATTACGACAACAAAAGCACTTGAACGCAACACACTGGTAAATACCAGTTCGCAAGTGGAAAATATCCTATTTTCCATAGCACGTGAACGCACCATAGGGCTACGGGCGGCGGGCGAGTTTTTTTCAAGGTTGGAGCTAAACTCTGTAGAACAGTGGCTCTCCGGGACTGACGTTGCCGTTGCCTACCCCTGGTTTAGTGGACTTGCAAAGGCCTGGATTCCTGAGAATGTTCACTCTGAGCTGTCTGTTCGCAGCAGTCTGGTGTGATTTTCTGACTGAGCGTGTGGTTTGTTGTTGTCACAGGGATGACTAAAGTGAAGGTAGGGAAGGAGGATTCGTCCTCAGCAGAGTTTGTGGAAAAGAGACGAGCAGCGCTGGAGAGGTGAACGCATGCTTAATAACACGCACACAACAAAAAAAGAGGTCAACCAATTCATAGGTTTCAGTCACATGACTGCTGCACGGGCCTGTCAGTTTTTCCATCTGTTTCAAGCCACAAATATTTAGATCACCTCTCAAAAGTAGAATGAGATGGTCTGTGAACAAACTGCAGTATTTCAACCAACAAAAACAGCGGGACAAAAAACAGTGATTTTAAAAGATCAAATTCAGTATACACCTTAATGATGATGCATACTATACGCAGGCAATCAGATGCCATTTCAATGTCATATTAAGTGCTTTCGTTATAATGGTTTCTATTGTAAACTTAACACGCAATAGGCCTCCGGAAGGCCTTTTGCCCTCCTGGTGGGTGTGACATCACGTGAAAACAGTAAACTGCATTTTTCAATGCATTTAGATGCATTGAATATGTTTAGAAAACCTCTTAGTATTTCCCTAGTGTGATGGGGCATTCTAGAGTCCAAATGTAGGAAATCCAAAGTGCTTTTTTGTGCAGCCAAAAATACAAATATTTGTCCTATAACAACCAGGAAAAGAGAAAGACTTTTACACTAAAAAGTCAATGTTTGAATATGCAAATATGAGCTGCCATTTATCATCAGTGATCCTTTCTCAAAGCTATCTGGTAGCCAAGTACACATCAAATTGAGGATAAAGATTTGAAAGATTGTTAATCATGGCAATATATTTAGACACATTAAACCTTGGAGTAAGGAGTTTCCTTTTTATTTTTCCAGTGTTACTTTACTGCACTGTACACACACACACACACACACAATATAGCATTCATTGTTCCATCAGCAAAACACTACGTTTATTGACCTCTATCATAAAATGTTTCACGTTTGTTTTATTTTTACTGGTTACATTTACTTACTGTGTGTTTATATTTTCTGTAGGTATCTACAGCGAGTAGTGGCCCATCCATCTCTGCTGCAGGACCCAGATGTTCGAGAATTTTTAGAGAGAGACGAGGTCACCACCTTTATCATATTTTTAGACACATTGTACAGTATTTTTTGTGGTGGCACATTTTAGATTTAAACTTGTGTGTGTGTGTATGTGTGTGTGTGTTTTAGTTGCCCAGGGCAGTAAATACTCAGACTTTGAGTGGACCTGGCCTGCTAAAGATGATAAACAGAGCGTCGGATGCAGTGAATAAGATGACCATAAAAATGAACGAATCAGATAATGTAAGATGAGCTCCGTTTGTGCACTTCTAAAGCATATATTTTCCCAGGACGTTGCATTTGGCTAGTGATTGACACGTCTGCGTGTGTGTCAGTGGTTTGAGAGCAAGCTGCAGGAGGTGGAGAATGAGGAGCAGCTGCTGAGGAGGCTGCATGCTGCTGTTGACTCATTAGTAAACCACAGGAAAGGTGAGAGTAAAAACTACACTGCGAAGCCAATCTTCCAGGTTCATGCCGTCACACAGCATCTTAGTGTCTTTCTCCTCTCGTAGAGTTGTGTAGTAACACAGCGGTGTTCAGTAAGAGTGTGGCCATGCTGGGCAGTGTGGAGGAGAACTCTGCATTGTCTCGTGCGCTGTCACAGCTGGCGGAAGTGGAGGATAAGATGGAGCAGCTGCATCAGCAACAGGCCTTCAGCGATTTCTTCATCCTCGCCGAGCTCCTGGCCGACTACGTCAGACTCCTGGGGGCCGTGAGGGTTAGAGAGCACAACCACATAACCCAAAACCAGCAGTCAGAACCAACCACATAAGAAATATGATGTTGTTTACTGTGTTCTTTGCTGCCTTCAGTGCTGTTTTGAGCAGAGGATGAAAGTATGGCAGCGTCTGCAGGAAGCTCAGAGCACACTTCAGAAGAAACGAGAGGCTGAGGCCAAACTGCTCTGGGCAAACAAACCTGAGAAACTGCAGCAGGCTAAAGATGACATAAATGAGGTTAAACCTTATCAGTGAATGCTTCATGTACAACACTCCACATGTACAGTTCGTAAGACTTCCGTTTAGCAGAGCTGGTCACCAATTTGCTGTTCATGTTAAGCTGTTTTCTTTGTTTCTGTGCAGTGGGAGTCTAAAGTCAGTCAGTATGAGAGAGATTTAGAAAGAGTCACCTGTACTGTGCGCAAAGAAGTGCTCAGATTTGAGGTAAGATGTGTTGCAAAACAAACATAATGGCATATTAGTTGAATATTTCCAAGAGAAATAGAAAGAGGACACCAGAGAAACAGCAGAGTAAAATACTTGTTAAAGTCTTGCTAAAAGGGATAGTCCACCCAAAAATGAAAATGCAGTCATTTACGTATATGACATCATGTTTTTCAAACCTTTTTTTTTTTTAAATTTTCTTTTTGCTGTTGAATGAATATATATATATATATATATATACTGTATATATATATATATATATATATATATATATATACAGTGTATATAGAGCACTGTGCACTGGAGAACAATTATTTGATACACTGCCAATTTTGCACGTTTTCACACTTACAAAGCATGTAGAAGTCTGTATTTTTATCCTAGGTACTCTTCAACTGTGAGTGATGGAATCTAAAACAAAAATCCAGAAAATCACATTGTATGATTTTTAAGTAATTCATTTGGATTTACTGATGTAACGAGACAATAAGTTACTTTAGTTTTTTAGTCATATTTAGCGAATTAGTCTATTTTAACTACCTTAGACACCAGTGTTTATATCCCAAAAAATTTAATCCCAGTTGTAACAGAAATAATGTAACTGTGTGGTTGAAAAGACTGTTTATGAAGCTGTTTCATACCTATACAAGACAACTGCTCTCTCTGGCTCAGCAGCAGCGCCAACACAGATTTGTTCCGCTGTGATCGTACTTGTCAAAAGTTTTACATAGCCAAATAATGATAATTTGTGCAAATCTAGTGTACAGCACAAAATTGAAAATATAATATTTTCTTTTCTGTCACAGAAAGAGAAAGCCAGAGACTTCAAACAGCACATAGTGAAATACCTGGCGTCCCTTCTTCACACACAGCATCGGGTAAGTGAGTGTGTGTTTTACATACAGCATCATTGAATAGTCTTTCATGAATTGTTATTTATCTTAAACCAGCTGGTGAAGTGTTGGGAGGCCTTCCTGCCTGAGGCCAAAGCCATCGCCTGATCCGAGCCTTACCTCACACGCTCCTGAACTTTGACCTTGAAAACAGACAATCAACATTTCCCTTCTGATTTACTTTACTCTCTGTGTATCAAATAACATGTACATCTTAATGGCTGTCCATCAAAAGGTTAATGCCTAGATTGTGACGGTAAACCCATGCAGTGACCCGTGCCACTGTTGACAATTGAATGTTGAGGTTAAAGGTTAAAGGTCAGAGCGGCATTTAAAAAAGAGCAAGCTTAATGGGGTGCAGCAAAAATAGTTTTTTATGTGTGCATGTGTGTTTAGTGTTATCCTTAATGTTTTTAATGGTGCTTAGCATGTGAAGTGTTCTAGTAGAGACATTAAACCGCTTTTAAGATTGCTGAGTCTCATTTTCTGTGTGTCATGGAAGTGCACAGAGGTGAGACTGAACATTTGGAGTTTGTAATCCATTCCAGATAGTAAAGAAAAACACTTGAGATGTTCCCAGGGTCACTCAACCCAGCCTGATGTTGCACCAAGAAGTTAAGAATATGATAAAGACAAAAGAATGAATGAACCCCACTACAGAAAGGGAAAATGGTTGGTGTCTTTTGAACGAAGTTTCATAATTTGTGTTGTGAGTTTTTACTGACTTTTTTTATGTTCTCAAACAATGCACTGATCTGGACTGGTCCAGATAAAGGTCTACTTATAGGTGGACAAACATTCCTATTAAAAAATCTATATGAACTTGTCAAAACGTACATTAATTGCAAAATGGTGTAATTCATTTTGGGGTGAATGTGTAAAAACATTTGCAGTGTGGATGCTTTCAGTCTTGTACATTTACACACTTCTGGTGTGTTCATGATATCGCACTACCTGGAGAAACCAGGGGCCTTGTTTATAAAACACACTTGATCAGATTTAATCCTTAATTCCATAAATTTCATTCTAGGTCCTAAGTGTGAAATCGGGATTTATACAATATGCATATGCGTAGCTGATGTGCTTGTTCACAAGAACATTTTGCGCATACAGACGTTTTATAAATCATTCATGGGAACATTTCGGAAATATGTTCACATTTAGGACCATTCTATGCATGTCTTTATAAATTAGGCCCCAAGTCTTCAAATAACATAGATATTGAGGGGACCCCCATATTCAAAACAGAGGTATATTTGTTTTTTACACCAGTAGTCAACTTTGGATTATATTATTGGTAGAAATCTTTTTTATTTTTCTTCTCCATTTTGACTATTAACAAGATGTTAATGACCTATTACATGTGACATGCATTTAAAACCGTTGTCCTGTCAAACATTATTTGTCTATTTGATGAAAATAAAAAGGATTTAAAAAAAAATGTTATCTGTTTCAGTTAAGTACATCTCAAAGCATCACAATTTCATCAACTAGTCAATACAGCAGTTCTATATTGAGATGTGCACTGACACATTGAAAGACAATCTTTAAAAACAAACAAAATATTGATTTTAAAAGATTTGAGACAGTAGAACAATTTGGACAGATTGCTATTAACATTTAATAGTGATGATTTGTTTTATTCTTACTGGGAGTGTTTGTCTATCTATCAATAACTTGTTTTAAGTATGATACACCTGGAACTGAATATGTATGAAAACATTAATGATAACAGAGAATTAACATTTTATTTGCATTCATAGAGTCAGGCGATCATTATGTTAAAGCTAGGGTATACGATTTCAAAGATTGTTCATTGTTAATATCCTCGTTTAGATGCTGTTTATGGTTATATAGTATAATCCTAACAATATAAATAGAAAAAAGAACGAAAAAAATCCATTCACTCTATTGGCTGTAAAGCCACATAAAAGTTGACCAATGGAAGCTTTGCGAGCGCAAAGCTACATTGGTCATCTGCTCTCATCCAATCACCAGCTACACTTGAAACTCCGCCTGGAGCTCGCGTCTCCACCCCGACCGCGCCCAACCACGCCCGACCGCGCCCCCCTTCTGCGTCATGAGAATCGCGCACGTTAGCAGGTGACCGCACATGGTAGTAGCACATCAGACAGCAATGGATAACAACGAAAAATACATCAGCAAGCGTCCCCTGCTTGCCCCTACAAGAAAGTTAGGACGGAAGAGAAAGTCGTTTGAGGAAAATGCAGAGACGAAAAGAAAATGTGAAGAACGCCGAAAGTTGAGTAGGATAAATATAGGGTTCACCATTGACCGATGGAGGAAACTTCAGCGAGATCTGGGACTGAAGACCGACGCTGACACGGCTGACTTTTTGTTGAGCAGGTAAACATTTATTTGTACTCTTATATGGTGTGACGTGTTACATAAATAGCTTTTTATCAGTCTGAAAACTTGCTAATGCTGCCGGTCGGCATTGGAATGTTAGCTGTTTAGCATCACCTGTATCACGGTTCAAAGTAAATATATTTCTTGAAGTGCTTGAATATATTGCAGTATGCCTAGCGGGTTTCTGTTCGAGCCGATCGGAATTTCAAAAAGATGCGCTGTATGCTGCTATAACAATTACTCAAAACCTTAGCAATACTATTGATATCATACTTATGGTGGTGGTGTAGTGTAGAACATTTCATGTGTTGCTAATCTTGCGTTGGCGTGATCTCAAACGTGTCATTCCGATGATGACAACTTGATTGAGTGACGTTGTTCAATTCGTTTCCCTGTGGGAGGGATCAGGTAGCAGAGGGGAGAGGGGTGTGTGTGGAGAGGCGGGATGAGTTTTTCAAAACTTCCCTCCCGTTTCAGGCTCTCTCGACCGATTTTCAACATCGTATACTACAGCTTTAAAAGACAAAAAAAAAAAAAAAATACACACCAGATTAAAACAAATTCCTTCAATACGGCTCTTTTGAGCTTAACCTGAGAGCACTGTTCTTCATATCAGAATGCTGTTATTATTAAATGTTCTCATCAAAACTGCTTTATGGCTGTAAATCAGGAGATAATCACGTTAAAAAAAGGAGTGAAAAATTCCATGAGTGCATTATAAGGCCTCAATATGCATCCAGTAGTCTTTAATTTCCCCACCTGAATCTTTAGGCTAATGCATCAAGTACACTAGACTCATAGGTACACTAGAACTAATGGACCAGGGGGACAACCACAGTCCTTGTGTTTCAGAGAGAACACACCTCTCGGGGAGCTTCAGTCTAGTCCACTTTTTCAGATCCTCCTCGTGACACTTGTGCACAATCTCTCATTACAACAAAAGCCCAGAGAAAATGACACCCAGTCACTATTGTAAAGTTACAGAGTCGTGCGCTAAGCATTGTTTCGTTGATGCTATTGACGCCATCACAACTCTTGGTTCCCCATTTGCTCTTGAAACAACTGAAGTTCCAAGAAATAAAATATCACCAAGTCTTCCCCAAATAAAATAAATTGTGTGGCCAAAGTTAAAGTCTTTTCAGTTGGCTTAGAGTTTCAGTTGCTGCTGTGTCCTCATAGGTCCTCTTCACTGTCCCACAGTTCCTCTTTGCGGAGGAGCTGATATGATTGTCAGGAGTCGCTCTCATTTACGACTGAACTATAGGTAGCCGTCGGCTCTTTTTGACGGCATAGCACTAGAAACAGCAGTAGTACCAGCAGGAAGAGTAGACATCCACACACAGCCAGCCCGATGATGACCTCTGCACACACGTATGAGAAAGAACTATCAAATATAACAATATAAACAGATTTTTTTAATAACTATAGATTCACATCTTTACTCTATAGTCCATATATTAATATGTATTATTGCATTTACCAGTGTCTTTGGCTTCTTTCTTTATCTGACAGTCTTTATTCCAGTCTTGTGGTATAACTTCAAGTGTGAGGTTCACAAAGTCCTGTAGGGGGCAGCGCTGGGAACAGCGCGGTAAAGACACTGCGTACGGCTCGGGCACAGTGCTGTCATTGCGATAAAACATCTCCACTGAAAACGACCTGAACAGAGACAAGCAACGGAATGTTTTGGTTGATCCAAGATGTTTTCTAGAAATATGAATTTAGGAAAAACACAAGACAGCATGTTACCCGTTATCGTCCTGGTGAAGTTCAATTAGATGACACGAGGCATAAGGCGGCTGCAGGCCATTAAAGACATTCAGGGCTTCCTGGAGAGCTACAACTGTTGTGTCATGCTAGTGAGGAAAGAGTTGCATGAGAGAACATTACATGAACTGCTTTCTCTAAACAGAACACTTCTTTTTTATAGAAAACTATTGACTGAAAAAGGGAAGTCTAGGAGTCTGTTCTGCTGATGTTGATGTGAACGTGACACATGACTTACAGCTGAGTACATCACCATCTTCACTTTTTGTTTAGAGTCTGGAACTGCAGCGGTTGAGAGATTCTTAATGATCTGATCTAACAGCAGGCCTGCGAATAAGAGCATAAGCAAAGCGTCACACGATCACAGTACTGCACATTTCCAGCCTGAATGTGGAGCGGTCCGTTGTTTCTTTACATTGACGTCTGCCTGCACTGTTCAGGTAGCGGCCTTTCCCTTCAATTCCTTCCTACAACACTGATTTGCATACGTGTGCATAAAGTGTCAGACTGTGCATCTATGAAAATGGTCTGCCAAGAATCCTCAACAGTCTTCTTATTCCTTTGATTGGCACAACAAACTTCGAAATGTCCACAAAAAAAGAGAAAAACTACTCTGCCTCTCTCTTGAATTTTAATTTTATGAAGGTGGTGATGGCACAGTGGATAAGACACATGCCTTTGGTGTGAGAGACCCGGTTCGAATCCACTGTGAGACACCAATGTGTCCCTGAGCAAGACACTTAACCCCTAGTTGCTCCAGAGGCGTGCGACCTCTGATGTATAGCAATTGAAAGTCGCTTTGGATAAAAGCGTCAGCTAAAATGAATAAATGTAAATGTATTATTGTTTTTATTTGTTTATTTTTAAATTAAAATTTAATAATAAAAAAAAATAAAGAATAAAATGCTCTGCTCAGAAATAAGCTCTCACCTCCTTGAAGTCTGCACTTCTCCTTTCTCTTATAGACTCCAAACAAAATCTGAAAACCAAAGTTCTTCAGCACCTTCAGCGTTTCCATCACATCTGGCGTCACCCAGGAAGGAGGTGACTTCCCATGTTTTGCCTGGGGAGGGAGAATCACAGAATTCATGATCTTGATTTAATCGATTCTGAGCATCTATAGATTACTCTGGAATAAAATGATGAAACAGTAACTCGGCTTATGGTAAAAAGGCCATCGTTGCAAGACATTTACCACAAAGTGTACAGAAGATGCACTCAACATCAAGAAAGAGTCCATATACGCTAGGAAACCGTTTTACCCACAAGCCATCAGACTTGTGAATGACCCTCACCCAGTAAGCCTCTCTCTCACTCTTCACAGTGACAGTCTACTTATCTTGACTACTTAACTCTGCTCACATGGCAACAAAGAACTTAACTGGACTCTAAGGCATTGTAGAGAGAAATATTCACTTTTCCAGCAGAGTTGGTTCCAGAAGTATTTTTCCCATTCACTTTTCCCAAAAGGATTTTAGGAAAGTCTTTGTTAAAGTGTTATAAGCCATTAACCAAACCAACCAGCTAAGCAGTGAATCACAACATCACTAATTTTAATTTGAAGCAAAAAAGTATTTGAAAAACAGACAGAAAGACAAAAGGTACAAGACTGTTAAATAAATCTAATTCAAAAGATTAAACTACTGAATTTATATTTAAATTTGTTGCAAAATATAATAATTTGTTGGTTGATAATAAACTACATTAGTTGTATACGCCCTGTCTTTAATATATCATTCATTCACATATAGACAATACTTAGCAGGAAAGATTGGCTGGCAGAGTCTCTTAATACTAGATGAAGTCATAGATGAAGTGAATAATGTGCTAGGTGAAACTCACCTCACAGAACAACGTGTCATAAACACTCCAAATAGACGCAATTGAGGCTGTCTCCAGTCCTGTTTTATTTCTCACCATTTCTATAAATGCCTGCAAAAAAACCCACAATGACATAACCATGATTGTAGAAACCATTGGTTTACATTGCATTTACATTTACACTGAAAGACAAGGAACATACTAAAATTGTAAGGCCCGCAAACAAACATGAAAAAAAAATATGGAGCAAGATTTGAAATGGAATAGACATCCTTCTGTCTTCAAGAGACAATGGTTTAGAATATGTCTAAAATAGTAAATATTTACATTGGGTCCAACATGAAGCCGCATACACTTACACACTATGTACTCAACTATTTACTTTCGTTTTATATTTGTTTATTTTATTATTAAATTGTGTGTTGAAACAGTATATCTTCTAAAACGGTGTAAAGGATGTTATTCATTTTCAGTGAAAGCCACTTAAAAAGTAAAACGCAAATAAATATTAATGAGCCAAACTGAACCTCCTCTGGGAATCACCATTTAAAAACAATTCAGAAAACGCCAGGATACCTTTTGTGAAACAATATATCATAATTGCTGTAAAAAACATTACTTTAAATTACATAGATGCTATTATAAATGGGTTTTTGCAAGGTGGACTTACCTTGTAAGTGTCAGTCATGTTGATAAAAATGTCAGATTTTTCAGTCTCGTTCATGAGCTGTGTGTAACGTGGACAGTCTTCTAGCGGGAATGAGAGCAGCTGGAAAGACAACGACAACAGCAAAAAAAAAAAAAAAAGAAAACGCAAACTTTGTAAGCAGGTTATGTGGCCATGTAAATAGATTTCAAACATCCAGAGACATTTACTGATACTGTTGAAGTGCAAATATGAACTCAACACTAAAGAGAGTTCAGGCCAAGTTTCAGTTTGCTGCAAAATTGTGAAAAAAAAAAAGTGGGAACAGAGCATCAGTGTGAGGTCTTACCTTCTCTTCATTCGCCGGGACAGTGTGAACAGGTATTGGCTGCCATTTCAAATTTGGATTAAACACCTCAGAACCGTTAGGTGGGAACAGGCCAGCCAGGTTAGCTTCTGCACTCATCAGAGTCCGGTCAACATCTGTACTTCTGATGAATATCTGCAGCACAAAGATGGCATATGCTATTTAAATGCACAAGTCTGGCAGCTTCGTGTATCCGTTTACTAACATGCTTAGACAGAAATGTAAAAGACAGTGACCTCATGGCGGTCATAGTCCTCACTCAGGAATCCTCTGTAGCGTTTCTTTAAAAACTGGCCTAGTTCATAGTGCTGCTTCATTCCCTCCTGGAAAATCGAAAAGATTGAGTTACAGTAATAAAAATACAAAAGGATGATGAAATAACACTCAGTTTGGTGCCTATTACAAAAATGTACACAAACTGGACTGTAGTTTTCTATAAAAAGGGTTTTAATTATGTACGGTGCGGGTCACCCCAGTCAATGTATTTTAGCATGTTGAAATGACGTGACAATAAATTGAAAATGTGTCCATCGAGGACACAACCTCTCACCACAATCTCAGCGGTAAAAAAAAAAAAGCTGAAATAATGCAGGCTGACAACAGAACATACACCATTGATTATGAGGGGATGGAGAAAATGAATGGACTATTTACTTTTGGAACCTGACGGTTGCACTCTATAAACATAATATAGGACAGCCTCTAGCACGTTACTGCACAACCAAATGCTCCAGAAGTAGCAGGTAACTCATTAATAATAAAGTATAATAAAGACAATAAAGTATGTGTGAGTGTGTCTGCATACCTGAGAGAGCTGTCCAAAACCCTGGGGCCAGTCACTCTCCTTGTAGGGATCAGTTGGATAGGCCTTGATTGGAGATCTGTCGCCATGACGATAGAGCTGACAGAGAGGAAGTCAAAACACTTGACTGAGTATTGGAGATTTATGTGTGCGTGTTCAGAAAGACAAACAACATTGCAAATCCTGCTTGTCATGTGCTCATACTGACACCCGGATATGAGCCACAAAGTAGTATATAAACATTCTAATTGGATAAGCAGATTCAGTCTATCTCTTTATCTTTGTCTCTGCCTTTCACAGAAATCAGCCGTGATCTTCTCTCATTTACACTTAAAGTCTATAAAGTGGATTTACCTGTATCGCTTTCCAAACAGAAATTGGGTTTTCTAAGAATGCTTCATAGCAGTGTTACACAACACAAACACACTTAAAACACACTCATTTGCAGTGACTCCAAAGTCATAATTAACCATAAACCACTTATTTTGTGAAATGAGTACAGAAACAGACAAAAAGAAGGAAAACAATAAACTCAAATCTGATACAATAATAAGAACAACACAAGGACAAGGATTTGTATACACAAATAGAAGAAAAACACAGAATTAAAGTTAAACCGCACATTTAAATAAATTAACAAAGCATCAAAAATCTGGTATTTTTATCATGTGTACAATTTGGAAGGATGAAAATAGAGGGTTGAATTTAAAAAGAAATAGTGTAAGACAATGGGTATTAAACGCATTTTTTTTATTAATGTAAATTTTGCATCCAATATAATGAAGTCAGCAAGATAATCAAGAAATAAATCACACGTGTCATATTACAAAATAATATCTTTGACAATAGAGGAGAGGTTTACTTCTGCAGGACTAAAAATGAAGGCACTTTTACAATCAGCCCAGAATTTACCCTTTATATTGCAATCAAAAAATAAATCGATAAAAGCTGTTTCTTCTAAACAAGGTGGATTTTAAGATATAAGTCGATAACTTATATAAAGGGATTATATTGCTTTAAGAAGACATGAGAACTGGGAAGTCATGGAGCTTCATAAATTAGAATATGACCAGAATCAAAAGGTAAAATTAAATTAATAGACAACATGTCTAATCATGTGATGAAGCCAGAGATTGAGCTCATAGACAGTCGAGAACAAGCAGAGCTAAAACCAGTCGACAGCAAATATTGGTTAGCCTAAATGTCAGCAGATATTATTGCGATTCACGTCGTTGCTTCTGGATACAGTATCAAACTAGTAGACTGATAACGACAGAAAAGACCATTATCGACCAATATACCGTAATCATTGCAAAGCTTTCATCAACAACGTGGGGGAAAATGACAATCTCATATTCACACAGAAGACACATATTTGTTATACATAAAAATATGACACACACCAGCTTATCAAACCAGCTGCACTAACGTTACTCAGCACACTCTGGCAGTAATCTGGACAAATGCATTAGGTTATACTCACCACAGTGACAAACTTGAGCGTTCTCTCTCCATTGGAAAAACTTAAAGCGAAGACAAACACGACGATCAGAAAACAGGAATCCATACTTGCGAACGAGCAGCAGGGGTAGAGTTCAGCAGTTCTGAACGATCTGGCACACAAGACGAACTGCAAGCTTTTCCGGGTAAAGGAGCGCTCCCATTGGCCAACGCACTCTGGAGCTTTAAAAACACGTAAGGTGATTGGCAGTCTTGGAACAGAGAGGGACTCTTGGGACCAAACAATAGTTGTGTTTTGATAAGATAACCGGCGTAAACTTCTTCTGTGGGTCTTTTTCAATCGGACATTTAAGACCATTCTCAATTATGGTGTATTTGAACTAATTGATTTCGCCCTCAACCTGCTATCTTATAATGAAAGGGGCTGTGAATTAATACGGCTATAGCATTTGTTGGCCATTGTTTTCTCCTATATTTGTATTTGCATATAGATATTTTTAAATATCATGTTTATAACCGTAGGTATACCAAGTAAGTAAATATGAAGTTGTCATTTAGAAAATGGTGTAATCTTTACCGATTTACGGTCAGTGACAGCTCAAAGTGGTTTGAGCATGAACGATGTTTTCGGTAATTGACTGTGAATGATCTGTGCTCCATTGGCTTTGTCTGTACGTTTTTTTTGGCAGGAACACAGCAACAAATCTAAAGTACATGCGACCCTATTTTCGGAAATAAAGAAGAATATTCCTCGCTACATATTTATAAATACGAAAATAAAATTCGGGGACGATTTAGGCAACTTACGGTCTCCAACGTATTTGTTTTATTTGATAGCTACGATTTCAAGGAGTATAATCGGATAAAAATATGAAGAAAAGGTAGGCCAAATCTGAGACCCCGAGTGGTTGTCTTAAATATATTTTAAATAAAAAAAACACTCATAATTGAAACACTGTGTAACTGAGAATCAATGCATCACCTGTAAACTGTAGCTTGCTAACTGCTAAACGTGAAAGCTGTTAGCTTATTTCCTCATTCTAAAACAAACATTGTAAATTAACGTTATGATGTTCACTAGTTCCTTAATTCTATGACCATGAAATTAATTTAATAAGCGATACTCCGTTTACAGCCCTTATAACGTTATCCCCTATCTATTCTTAATAGCTGAAGATAACAGCTCAAGGCAAATATAGTTAAGCCTGTCAGATGGATGATATTTCAAGTTATGGCTTTTACAATTCTTTAATGATTTATAAAGATTATTCTTTAACATTTTTTATTTTTTTTGCTGTTTGCCAAAATAGTTGTATCTATTTTGAATTAATTTGTATATTCAGTTTTTTTTTAATTTTAGTTAGGCAAGTTTTTGTCATTTTAGTAGTTTTAAATGCTCATATAGTCTGTTATTTTATGTTACCTTTTATGTATTTTCTATTTTGTATTTTTTTTTAGTAAAATTACAGTTAACATTTATTTGTTTTAGGAAAAAAATATATGTTTTAGTTAACTATTATAACCGTTTTCTACCCAGAGTTCTAATTCTTCTACAGTCTTTTTACTGTATAATAAAAGTTTATATTTTTCTGCTTAAGTTATTCAAATGAATCATTCTGTCATTGGATGTGTATTTGTGACCTAGGTCTTGACTGACTTTTTTTTAGGTGATGATAAAAAGACCTATTTTGCCTATCCGTGTGACACAACCAGGATACACCATCATTTGGCTTTGTAGTGTTGATTTGATAATCGATACACATGAAAATGTTCGGTTACACCTTGTAATCACCTTTGACACTTGTGCTGATTGTGCAGAGATGTTAGAGGTGGTGTGTGGTGAGGTACAATGCTGGAAGATTTGACATCACACACATTTAATAACTCATTACTCGAATGAAATAAAAGAATATTAATATTAGCCTATTTGAAATCAAATTGTGATCCTCTAAGATATTCATGAAATTTCTCATTTTTTCTACCCCAGAATAATGGTGTGGTAGTAGCAGTGGTGGTCCAGTGTGTGTGGGCCTTTGGACAGCTCTGGGTGTAGTGTGAGCGTGTGTGTGGAGATGAAGGTGGGACAGAAGAACTCGGTGTGTATCCTGTCTAGTCGAGAGCGAGGAGCACGAGGTCTTGCCTCACACAGGATCCTACAGCTGCTTGTAGAGGAGAAGACACAGCGCATGAAATGGCAAAGCCAGGTAACTGATGCACAGAACTTTTTAGACTTCATCTGTGGACTGTAGACTGTCATCTGGGAAATGCCTGCTCATTACAATGTGTCAGAAGCAATAAACTGCCTGCTTATCTCTAGTAGTGTCTATATCACAGAAATGAACTATTTTCATTTGTTGTGTCAACTGTGGATCTTTTATTTGATATTTTTAATTCCAAATAAATAGCTTTATAGTCTTGTAAGGTTTTTCTTTCATAATTTTGTATATATATATACAGTATATATATATTCACACCAAGAACGATAACTATACCAATAAATGTATTAGCATCCACACCAAGGCATGATAACGTTCTGTTTATTTTAATCTTGCGGTGCAGTTGTGTCGTTTGCCTACTTTAAATGCTCAAGCTCTTTAAATTCGGTGGATTCTGATTGGCTGTCTGTTTTTAACTTTCATCAGCTGAAAAAAATCTTTATAAAACTGATTCCATTTCCATATATAGGATTCCTAATTCCATTTATAGGAGTCTTTATTATTACAGTTGTAGTGCGTACTTACCTATTCTCATAGAAATAATTATTAAAAATGTTATAGTTATAGCTATAATAGTTATTGTTTTGGTGTGAATGGGCCTTAATATTGTGGTTTGGATGTGACTAAAGTGAAATCACTTATCATTTGAATTTCTTTCGGTTGTCACAGAAAGTGGAGTTACCAGACAGCCCCCGCTCGACCTTTCTTCTGGCCTTCAGTCCAGATAGGTAATAAACCCTCTGACTACTCCTTCATAGTCCACGGTAGTACTGATCTGTTAAATAAATAGACTACTGACATAAAAACTGACTGATTGATCAGATCTTAGAGCACTCAGGCTCTTCATCAGCAAGATAATTAGAGAGGAATTTTTGTTATTTTTCTCTTCATAGGTCTTTAATGGCCTCCACCCATGTGAACCACAACATCTACATCACAGAAGTTAAGACGGGAAGGTGTGTTCACTCTCTGGTGGGCCACCGCCGGACACCCTGGTGCTTGACCTTTCACCCTAGCATACCTGGCCTTATTGCTTCTGGCTGCCTGGATGGAGAGGTCCGAATCTGGGACCTGCATGTGAGTCTTTACTTTACCTATACTGAACGATTGTTTTGTCAACTTTTAAGTACATTTGTCACTCAATTTTGCTCAAATGTTAAAGTATCACGTGATTTTGTTTCAGGGAGGTAGTGAGAGCTGGCTCACAGAGAGTAACTCGGCGATCGCATCGCTAGCATTTCATCCCACGGCTCAGCTGTTGCTCATTGCCAGCAACAACGAGGTGCATCTATGGGACTGGAGTCGGAAGGAGCCCTTCACTGTGGTGAAGACAGCTAGTGAGACAGAGAGAGTCAGGTTTGATGCACATTGTAAATGTTATTAATTTGAAGAGAGAGTTCACCTAGAAATTAAAATTCTGTCATCAATAACTCACCCCCATTTTTGTTCTAAGCCCATAAGACTTTCGTTAATTTTCAAAACGCTAATGAAAATATTTTTAATTAAACATGGGAGGTTTCTGTCCCTAATTTTATTCTCATATAAACATCAAAGACCGCCTGAGGTGAAAATCAAGTTTTAAATGTTGTTTATGTCTATATGGTGTTTTTTAATAGGTTTAAAGTGCCCCAATTATGCTATTTTAAAGTTTACTTATTTTGTTTTGGAGAAAACTGTACATGCATCAAAGGTCAAAAATACTCTTTCAAATGACTTGTTGGATGAATCAGTCTCTCTAAATCCCTCCTTTCCATGAGATACTCTGCTCTGATTGGCCAGATAGTCTGTAGTGATTAGTCCACCGCTTACAGGGCCTGTCGTAAGCTAACAGCCATTACCATAACTGTACTTCAGCTCCGGAGGCTTGCTCTGTCCTTAGCGGTTGTACACACTGTAAAGACAGTAACAATGACGTTGATTTTACCATATCAATGTGAGCGCAATTCCGACGATGAAACATTGGAAGAACTTATTTAACCCGAACCTTAATCGCAAAGACGACTTGATCATGACGTTTCTCAGTGAAACGCTGTTCAGTTTGAGGTACAGATGTTAATTCCTCATTATCAGAATTAACAAGTGTATGTCCTGTGTGTGTGTGTGTTTGTGTTGCATGTTTGAACTATTAACTGTATCAATAACGGTGCATATGTGAGCCGAGCACTAACGTGAATGACTGATTTAACATTAAAGTTTGCAGAACAAATCTTGTCCCACCCTTTATCTTTACTCAAAGTAGTGAGAGTGACAGACAATCTGCATTGATAGACATAGTTTTAGGTAATAGTGGCCCATAACTGACTAGCAGAAGTATTTCAGTAAGACAGTAATAACGTGAGTTAACCATGTAAGGGGTTTTACAGTCATAGACCCAGAACCAGATATGATGAATGAAGGCCCGGAGTCAGAATTATAATAAATTAAAGAAAATATTTATTGAAGATAGTTTGCAGTTTCATCAGCAGAAGTCAGCTTCAAGATTCACACGAGAGTTTGTAGGCCGCCCCGCTTACAGTTACAAAGATCACAGCTATTATACCATTCACCAAGGACTAAACAACGTCCTTGCTTCCGGTTGCAGTTTCTGATTGGCTTAGAAATAGATAACAAAGTCATTTTCCACACATATACAGATAAACAGAAGCATATCTCCATAGATTATGCAGCTGACACTCAGACCCTGAAGTTTAGGCATGTCATGACCTTCAAGGTCGCAGATTTGGGTTGCTGGACGCTAACATGTCGAAAAAAAAAACAAGTCAGTCAATCTCCCATAATGCCAGTGGTTCCTTAACCTGTAACCAAGAAGACTAACACACTCACTAACATGCAGCTTTTCAAAGGTTAAATTTGGCCAGGCTCTAACTATAAATACAGGAAAGTCCTCTCAAAACATCAAGATAATGTGTTCCTTCACTCAAGAAGAGACTGGAAAAGTAAGGCTTTAACAAAGAAATTGTCTCTTAAACTATTGTTTTCAATGACCCCTATATGTTTTAACACATTAAAGACCTATAGACCATTTTGCAAGATGTAAACAACACTGGTCCAGAAACACTTTCTGTTTCAGTTTGTAACTGTTTTCTTTATTTCACATGTAAAGAAAACATCTTAAAGATGTTGTTTAACTTTTTGATTCAGTTTTACATGTTCAGTTGGTTGTATTTTAACCCAGCTTTTATGTAGTGTTAAAAAACTGAAACAGGAAGTGCTTCTGGACCAGCGTTGTTTACATCTTGCAAAATGGTCTATATCAAACACAAAACTGGTCCCTATTTCATGTCTGGAAGTCGGGCTAAATGAGCAAGCACTGTTACTGCATTCAGATATCAAATACAGACATTAGAGAATACATGAAAAGAACATTTCAGTAATTACACTGGTAACTTCTATAACAAAGTAAAATCTCCAGAGAAGTAATTCAACTCCTTCTAAAATTGATATTTAGAAGGAAAAATAATAACTAATACCTTGATTATAATCACTCATTTGATTGAAGCAGCTGTGGATTCCAATCCACCCCTCAGCCGGTTAGCTGGAGATCACAATATAAAACACAAAACTACAAATTTTGAACTCCGATAGCATATATAAACATCAATAATTAATCTTGACATGTAGAGAGCCATACATTAAAGGCATTACCATTCTGATAATCAACTTGTAGACGTGTATTACTCTCACTTTTCCTTTTTCTTCTTCTGAAACAGTTTCTGGTTCAAACATATATGGCTGAATTAAACCACTATTTCCACTTGCCATTGGGCAGTGTTTACTACAGTAAACTTGACAGAGTGGATAAGCTATTCTGAGCTGGTGTGGGCTCGCTTGCATATTCATGGATACTAAATGATGCAAGGGTTTATAGTTACATTCAAGCTATTTTAATGAGGATTTTTTTTCACTGTAAAAATCATTCAGTGAATGAATCAAAATTGAATCACTCATTCAATTTAAAATGTCATTTTGTTTATCAAAGATGAATTTTAAGAGATAATATTCACTACAGGGCGACTTTAATCACCACACATACATAGAGTACATCAAAAAACAAACGAGGCTCATCAAGCAAGCACATTTGAGCTTTCGTTTACCATATGATGCACCGTATGTATTTGTTTAGGTCAATGTTTTATATATATAAAGAAGCCTAAATTAAATCTGTTTATCTTATAAAGCGATCAGATCTTTTTAGGAGAATTGAAAATAAAAGCTTGATTCATATAGATTACTTTTAAAATCTCTTTAAGAACTTTTTAAAGTGACATTAATTTGGTGGAATTGGATTTCAATAGACAGAAAAAAATCTCAGATTTCATTAAAAATATTGTCATTTGTTTTTCAAAGTCAGCGTTTCAAACGACAGGAGGGTGAGTACGTAATGACAGAATTTTCAGGTGAACCATCGCTTTAATGTTTAACATTTAGGCACATCAGAGATTACATCTGATGTCAGTGCATCTGATGCTTTTGTGAACATTCTCTGTGTTTTTTGCAGGTTGGTGAGATTTGATCCATTGGGTCACTATCTTCTAACTGCCATTGTAAACCCTTCAAACCATCAGGTGATGCTTTTTGCTGGAAATGTTGTTGTTTTGACATAAGATCCTATGAATATTTCTATTCTTATTTATTTATTTATTTATTTATTTTACTGTAAATGTGCTTGTATTTGTGCATTGCAGAATGATGATGATCCTGAGATTCCAATGGACAGTGTGGAGATGCCTCATCTCCGTCAGCGCTCCTTCCTGCAGTCCCAGCCTGTAAGACGCACACCAATCTTGCACAATTTCTTGCACATCCTCACTTCCCGCAACTCGGTCCCTCAGGCTGGAGGCAATCCTGTTGCTTCCGCTGACGAGGCCTCTGATTCGTCTGGGCATTACGCTGTTTTGAGGGATCGTTCCCGGCTGCCATACCACGGTTGCGTTCAGCCACTCGGAGTTGTGTGTTTCTGTAGCCGTTGCTCATCAACTAGGGTTCCATCTCCGCCTGACGAGGACTCTTCAGACTCCGCCTCCCTGGAGGGACAATCACACGCATCCACCTTTTCTTCTGCACGCACAGAGCCGCGGATACCACGATTTCCTGCCGAATCTCGTGCTGCAAATCGGCCCTCAGCATTTAGCTGTGTGTATGGTGGTGGCAGCAATGTACAGAACCATTCTTCTAGCTCTGGGAGGAGGAGAGTGGCTGGAATGGCACCTATCCCACCTTTCCGGCAGCATCCACCAGGCAGGGAAGGTGGAGGCCGTTTCCCTGGGGCAGAATGGACAAGCAGTGTGCTTAATGGACGAGGTAGTAGTTTGACTCCACCCAGAACCAGTGCTTCTTCCGTCAGCCCGCATTCTGTCCTTCGACAGCAAGGCACTTCCAGCCAATCACCTGTTTACACCTCTGCTAGTGATGGATGGGGCTTTCCTCATAGCAGTGGCAGCTCATCAGGGACTAGTTCTAGCAGGCATCACCCACCACAGGAAGAGGGGCACAGCAGCCCTTCTTCCATTCGCAACGTTCTTCAGTGTAACCTTAACCGCTATTTCATGGATTATGAGCAAATGCAGGACCTAGTGCAGCCACTAGAGGGCAGCAGGCCGGACCATCAGACTCAGGAAATGCTGAATAACAACATTGACCCAGAGCAACCGGGCCCATCTCATTATCAGCCACTTCACGGCAGCGAAAACCGCTCCCACAGTCACATGAATCGCTGTAGAGTCTGTCACAACCTCTTCACCTATAATCGGGGTACTCAGCGCTGGGAGAGAACCGGCCAGCCGACATCTGCTGAGAGAAACGCAGCTTGGCAACCTACTAGTCCTGCCTTTCAAAGCGTAGCCCCAGTCTCACATTCTGATCATCACCTACTTGAACGTGCACCAATAGAGCCCAGTCCAGACACCCCAGAGCCTCACGTACCCTTTTTCCGCAGCACAGCTACCGGTCAGCACGAGGATCAGGACGTCGGGCTGGTCTTCAACCAGGAAACTGGCCAGCTAGAGCGTGTTTACCGGCCATCTGCCACCTCTCGTTCAGAAAACGTGTCACAAGAAGCCTTAAACCAGGAAATGCCTGAAGACCCACAAGATGATGATTACCTACGCAGGTAAGGCAGTAGACTAGTTTGAATGGGTCAAATCAAACTTTCATTGATTCTTTGATATGGAAAGGTCTCAATGTACCATGAAATCATACTGTTTCTCATTTTCCATTGCCAGTTAAAAACTGAAAAAAATGACTGCAAAGATGTTTAGAAACGTTGTCCGACCAATCACAGTAATTATTAGGATTTTCTTTTTCTGCTTTCCCATTTAGGTCAGTGGTTCAGACTTTTACTTGCCAGTGTTTTCACTGACCCCACTATAGTTTTTTTTTTTTTATGTGTGATATATATATATATATATATATATATATACTGTTACTTTTTTACTGTTACTTTTGAACACTAGTGTGTATATATATATATATATATACACACACACACACACACACACACACACACACTAGTGTTCAAAAGTAACAGTAAAGAAATGTACAATTTGGCAAAAGATTTCTATTTAAAATAAATGCTGTGTTGTCAAATAATAGTGAAGAAATATTAATATCACAGAAGTATTAAGCAGCATAACTTTTCAACATTGGTAATATTAAGAAATATTGTATGCATAAACAGCAAAAAAATATAATGATTAAATATGTTCATCAAATTGCTCATTGCTGTGTGGAGAGGCTGTTGGCAGTGCAAAACTGTATTGGACCCGACAGCAAACCCAAAGTCTTTGTGTGAGTGCAGAAAAGCACTGTTACTCATTTAACATGTGAAGGGACTGACACAGCAGTTGTAAGTGGTTTGCATGTGAAATGAGCAACAGCTCTGTGTGAGGTGCTCTGGTGATAACACCTGGCTGCGAGTTTTCTATCATGTCAAATTTCATTTTCATCTCCCTTATTCTTCAATAATAGCCTCTGAACAAAGACGCTATTATATAGTGACAAGATCACAAAGCAGTCCGCACTGCAATGCGCCATATAAACTGTTATTAGAGTAAAATGATCAGGCACCTTGTTTGGCCTTCAAGGAAAAATGTCTAACATGTAAATCAGCTTGATCTGACCTTGTGTCCGTCTGTGTGCACTCTATTAGCCCTCACAGCGCTGGACACAATATTAATGAGGTGATTAATGATCTGCAAATCAGCACACTTAGTTCCAGACAGCATAGATGAATAAACTTTGAAGGGATAGTTCACCCGCAAATTCTGTCATCATTTACTCACCCTCAAGTTGATCCAAACCTGTTCGAGCTCCTTTCTTATTTTTAATACAAAAAAGATATTTTGAAGAATGTTGGTTACCAGACTGGTTCAACTTGACGGTGAGTAGAGGATGACAACATTTTCCTTTTTGGGTGAACTATCCCTTTAAGAGTTAAGTGAAGTGAAACATTTTCTATTTGCATTTGCTACCTAAATTATAAAGGACGGCTTTGCATAGAGACAGGCCAGTGCATTTGATTGTTATTGTTTTTCTATTTGACTGTATATGAATTTCACAAGAGGTTGTTGTGTTCACCAAGCATGTCATAGGTGAAATGCTTGGCAGACTTCTGAGATGGAGTTCATTTGGAGCCTCCACATGCCAGTCAGAATTTTACTCTGAACTGCTCTGAGGCCCCTATAACAAATGAAAGTATCTGCAAGACACTGACAGTAACTATAAGTGAGAGAAACATATTTGTTGTATTGACATGGCTTATATACTGGATCTACACAAGCTGCATGCATCTGCCATTTGAGATTTGTGAACGTTATTTTTGCACAAGGCTCTTGAAGTACTGAAAGTTGAATTACTTTTCGAAAAGTGCTTTCAATTAACTAAGGCTATGTGTCTACCATTCAAATGTTTAGGTATTTTTAAAAGAAGTATCTTAAATACAGTAGAAACAGCAAGGTTGTGACTTATAATGACAATCTTAAATGTTTCCTATTTGAATATATATATTTTTTTAAAATACAATTTATTTCTGTGATTTCAGCAGTCATTCCCCAAGTCTTTTGTGTCTCATGATCTTTCAGAAATCACCAAGAAACATTTCTTAACACATTTATTAATGGTTGTGCTGCATAATCATTTTGTGAGACATTTTTTGATTGATTGTTAAAAAGAACAGCATTTATTTAAAATAGAAATCTTTGTAATATTTAAATGTCTTGACTATCACTTTTGATTAATTTAATGCATCGTCATTGCATTCATGTAAAAAAAAAAAAAAAAGTACTAACGCCAAACATTTTGAATGTTTGTGCATGTGCTTAGCTTGCCCAACACGATCATATTGTGTTCTTATATTCAGATTATTTTTTCAATAAAAATTAATGGCAGTTTTGGGCTGTCAATCTTTTCATCATGGCTTCTGTAGAAAGAGTTAGTTACTACTCTTCAATTTCTGTAGAAAGAGTTAGTTGCTACTCTTCATACTTTTATTTCATAGTACAGTTGATGATAATATTTTGTGCTTTACTAGTTTTTACACTCAAAAACTGTGTATTGTGTTAAGCCCTCTAAAACTGGTCCTGAATTTTTATTTGGTTATGATGATGAACTATGGGTCAGACTGCTGATGCTGCATTGTGACTAGACACCGCCATTAAGGTAAACAATGACTCACAGACTAGTAGTCAACTCCTTTTCTGGACTGTCACATTCGACTATTTATAATGAGTATTAATGCAAACCCTTGGTCACCGGCACACTTGTCTCACCAAGTGTCCTTTTGAGAAGTGAGTTCTGAAGTTAAGTTAACGATCCACTTTAAGTTGAAATTTATCTTTTTGGCACTTTTGAAAGGAATCTGACCTAAAATGTGGGACAATTTTTGCTGATTTTGCCCCTCAAGGTTTCCTGCAATGTCCGTTACAGTCCATTAGGGGGAAGTAGCTCATCACACTGTGCAAATGTGGTGGTAACTTTGCACATATAGCCTATCTTCAACACTTAGTGGCCAATGGGCCTTTATTCTGATTATGTACTTGCACTCTAACTAACACACCGACCTGCTCTTGTCATGTTGCTGAACAGCCTGTCCCATGTGCATGGGGGTTTTATGATTCGGTTGAAGCTGTGCAACGAAAAACAATATCACACTTCACTTATGCAGGAGAGCAAAATAATAATAATACTGTCCTCCCATGAGTCCCACTTTGAGCTTTGAGCATGGTGCAAAGTATCAGAACGAATTCTCATCACTACCTGCTATAGTGTCGTACATTAAACAAGAGCAATTTGTTCACTGTAAAATAAATAAATTATTCTCATTATAATTATCAAATTGTTATTATTAAGTTATAGCATTATTATGTAATTAACAGTTTCCTCTTTGCAATAGCATAGACAGAGTAAAATGCTGATATTTAAACCTATACAGTAGAGACATAATGTAGTACCAAGTAATGCTACAAATGTTGTACTTGACAGGGTTATTGTAGGCAAAACAATAAAAAAAATAATACCCTCAGCATAAAAAAACCCAGCAAAATTTGGAAAAATGTTGTGTTTTTAAAGAGGCTTCATCTCTGTTAAAATGCAGATCTTGATCTTTAAGAGTCAAAGGGAGCAAACAAAGCAAACTGCGTGAAAAGGAGTCAGAATCGATTTGTTCTGTTTTTGCTGCGAGTCAAAGGGCAGAAGATGGCATTCTAATGAAGAGTCGAGCACACCCACACCAAAAACATTCATGTGCACACATCACACTGACTCATGCTGAATAAAAATGCCCCGCTCGATACACAACTTTCCGTCCAGCTTTGTGCCCTGCCAGTCGGAGGCAGCATGTTTTCGTCCTCGGGACACGGTCTCCTCTTGTATGAGGAATAGTACAAACTCAAACGTAAAAAATGCCCCAATTTATTGGGTTATTAACTGATTCCTAGCCTAGCCTGGCAGAGCGCACATCATTACTTACACATTACATTATATTCATTTAGCCTTCGCATAACAGTTGGTAATGAGCTTACTAATGTCCTTGTGCAGTTTAATGAGATTTTTAATGATTGTGATGGCGCTTGGTGGGGAGGTTACTGTTGAAACCGAGTAGTGGAAATTGGACGAAAATGTGTCGTCTTTGTCCGATGTCTCGAGATTTTTTATATGAACAGGAAACGAAGGTCTTCACAATTTGCAAACATACATAGATATATAATTCTGTTTTGTAGGAGGCTGCTGGAGTCATCCATGATGTCTCTTTCCAGATATGACGTCTCTGGATCACGAGACCATCCCATCTACCCTGACCCGGCCAGGTGATTCAGTGTGTGTGTGTGTGTGTTTGTGTGTTGTGTAACCTGCTTTTCGTGGTCATGCCGGTTGACCGGTGAGATCTGGGTAATGAGGAATTGTGTGTCACACTGCCGGACAGTGTGACATTTCAGACCTGCCAGCACCCCAATGTCCCCCTAATTCAAACATGCACACACAGAGCCTGTCGGCATCCTCTGACTCTGTGAGCGAGGCTCATAATAAAGTGAATTCATGGCTAGTGAGTCATTGTTGAGCTCTGGGGTATCAGCTGTGGTCTGGGATCAAGACAGATTGTTAGTACGGACTCCCACTGGCAGGTTTGTACAAACACATGGGCTGATGCACACCTCTAACCTGTGAATTACCACAACAGACTCATTTCCCCCAGAGCAGAATGTACCTGGTGTTAGAAGGATAGTCCGACTCCAACACATTCAAAACCACAAATAATTGGCGCTATATGACACTGTTGTTTCCCAGATCTCTCCCTCTGTCTCCCTGTATATTGGTCTAAAAGACATGCTGATGAACAGTGTGTGCGCGCGTTGGTGTGTTTAGGCTCTTTCAGACAGAATGCGACTGTTTTGGCTGATTCTCAGTTCTTTTGGATCTCTATAAAAATCTGCCATGTTCCTGTGATTGTGTGTGTGTGTGTGTGTTGAATATTCAGTTTTGTTTGCTTCATAATTATAGTAATTGCCTTTATGACTGGTGAAGATGTTACCATTTTCTGTTACTCTGGTGTTTATTGGGAGTTTAGCTCTGTTTGTCTTAGTACAGTTCATCTGTTCCAAGCTGCTGGTAGATTTCCTTGCTCAACTAGTCCAAGACGCAAAGAAACTCCAGATGCTCTTCCTGCACAAAAGACTACGCTTTAAGGGCTTCATTTAGCAAGTCGTCCTGACAAAATGTTATCTAATGTCTCTACAGCTGAATTAAATGCAGAATAGATGCAGATTTCTTATCAGCAATTCAAAAGATGCATAAAACATTTGATTGGTTTGTCCATCCATACTGATGTCTTATGAAAGTAATTTAAATGCCTCTGATTGACCATTACATGATTGTATACAATGAACAGTCTAGTCTGTGATTGGTTTTGAACCATTGCAGAAAAACCCCTGTTGAAATTTGAAACCTTTGGCAAAATGTGCATTAAACGTATACACACACACACAAAACATTATTAAGTGACAGCTAAAGTTTATAAGTTTAAGATGCTGAAGTATCGGTTTCTGTATTGGTAGATTATTAAAATTAATTAGAAACTGATAACAAATAAAAATATTGCTATCTCCCAATCAGTGTTGGGTAAGTTACTCTAAAAAAGTAAGTAATTACTAGTTACTAATTACCTCTTCAACAGTGTAATTAGATCTCTAAAAAGTATTTAATTACTTTTAATTACTAATTACTTTCAAAATCCCATATTAATCTCAACCAGCGGAATTATACAAGGATAGACATGAATCTGTTTGAACTCTTCCAAATAAATACTATAAAATTGCTTGAATTATCCTTAAACTCACCAAGGTGGAGAAGGTTACATTATAAAAATATACTTTTTAACATCAGACAATACATTTGGATGTTTGATCTCATGACATTTCACACTTTTTTCATACATATTTTACAATAATTCATACGAATTTGTACGAGTGTGGTCGTACAATTTAGACACCTCATAAAATGCATACGAATCGCTGTGAGATCTGATTGATCTATACGCAGTATTTACCTCAATTACATCAGAAGTAACTGTAATTAAATTACAGATAAATGAAGAGTAATCCCTTACTTTACATTTTGAAGGGAAAAGTAATTAAATTACAGTAACTAATTACTTAGTAATTAGCTACACCCAACACTGCTCCCAATGCAAGTATTTATTTGATTATATATATATATATATATATATATATATATATATACTGTTTGATATGTTATCTATCTAGTGAATATCTAACATCATTTTGGTTTCTATCTGTGTTGTGTGTGTAGGTTGTCCCCTGCAGCTTATTATGCACAACGTATGATCCAGTATTTGTCTCGGCGTGACAGCATTCGGCAGCGCTCTCTCCGTTCCCCCAGCAGACCCCGACCCCTGTCGTCTAATTCCAACAGCCTCTCTCCTGGCCCCGCCCCCAGTGTGGAGAGCAACGAAGTTGATTTTGAGGAGTTTGAGTAAGTAAACAGTCACACAGACACACAAAGCCTGTGACAATTAATTGTTCCTCGGTTGTTATCTGCTCTCATCCGCTTATAAAAATCTCTATGTATTTATTTTCCTGTATTGTTGCTAGGCAACACAAAAAATACACAGGGCTGGCTCTGAATTCCAGAATGTTAGCACTTGGGCTTTTCAACCGACTTATTGAGCTTGCCAACAATTTGTGTGCTAAGGTTGCCTGTGGCGTCTCTTCTTATAGCGTTTGGCATTAGCATTGGCCTTGGCTTGAAATGCACTTTACTACGTCCAATCGGAATCAGTGAATGTACTGCTTTGAGCTTACTGCTCTTTTCCTCAACTGCCGGACTACTGTGAAATTATGTTTTTAGTTTAGAAGTCAGAAGAATTTTTCTTCTCACCCATTATGGTTTCTGTTCAAGTCAAATGATATGCGTTGTGGTTTTCAAAATAGATAAGAGTGTTTCAAAGCAGGAATACTAAGAATTGTGCCTTCCAAACCACCCAGTGATCAAGCCAAAGGTGATAATGACAAGCAAAAACTCCCCACTATGTTTAAGTAGATGAGGATTAAACCTTGTGAGCCAAGCTGGGGAAGCCCCCTTCACCTGACTTCCATATATTTAAACAAATGCACTACTGTCCAAATGTTTGGTGTCAATAAGATTTTTTTTTTCATGTATATGGAAGTATTTTTTTCTGCATTTATTTGGTCAAAGGTATAGATAAAATGGCAATATGTGAAAAATAATTTCAGTTTGAATATAAAAGAAAACACCAATGTGTTGCAATGTAATGCAATGCAATGATGGCAAACTATTTATTTTCATCAATTTTAATGCTTCCTTGCCGAGTAAAAGGTCTATTTTCTTACTACCCCCAAATTTTCGATTTGTAATGTAAACACAAAGCATACATAAATTATAATTTTAACGTATGTTATCCAGCCACATAGTATTAATGACATTCATTTGTTAAATATAATGAAGTTCTAATGAAATATTTTGGAATATTTTGTTAGTAATCCATTGTTTTTCCCACAAGCAAATAATGAAATTCAGTTTCCTATTCAATCTCATTACCAGCCATTTAAAAAACGTGAGCATTACTCTCTTTATCTAGAGACTCATATTTTTAATATGAAAATGCTCTTTTAATTTGTTTGCAAAATGCATTTTTGGAAGCAGCCAGCTAGTCTGTGCTCAGGGCTTTAGTCATCTGTCCTTTTATGGAACCATTAATTCTCCAAAAATGTCTCTCTTTCCCTCTTCCCAACCCATCCACTAGTGGAATATCAGTGCTTCTCACCACTCCAAACCACGCAGCTTTTCTCTCCCTCTCTTACTCTCTTTTTTCTTCTTTTTTTGGCACGGATTAGATGCCCTCCTCTGAGCTGATGAATAATTCCACCCGCTGGCTGGAGAGTTCAGCGCTGCAGTCTGGGACCACAGATCCATATTCATCTGAATATTTATGAAACTCAGTCTTTCAGTTAGCCTTCATATTAATATGTATTTTTTTTTTTTTATAACCTTTTACTTTCAGTTCTTTATCAATCATTCCCACTCTTACCTTTAAAACATACTGGTGTTCTCATTTAGCTAAAAATATTGCAGAGATGCTTAAAGGGTTAGTTAAATGAAATAGTTAAAAATGAAATTTCTGTCATTAATTACTCACCCCCATGTCGTTCCAAACCCGTAAAACCTTCATTCATCTTCGGAACACAAATTTAGATATTTTTGATGAAATCCGAGAGGTCAGAGCTCAGAAAGGTAGTAATTCAGACCTTGAAAGGTTCTTAAATTTGAAGTTAACCAAGCTGTGGGAACCCTGTATTAAGCAAGTTATGATTGATTCAGTGATGATTATTATTGTTGCTGACCAAGTGTGTGTGTGTGTGTGTGTGTGTCTATACAGGGATAATGGAAGCAGACATAGGGCTCCTCGTAACGCACGCATGTCTGCTCCCTCTCTCGGTCGCTTTGTGCCCAGGTAGGAACACTTTTAGCCTGTTTATGCCAAATGCACCAGAAACACATTCTAACTCTATTCCAAAACTTAGTGAGCTGCCTACTGCCTACACAGGCACCTTCCATCTGAGAGTGTGTTGTGTGCTACACAAATAGCACTGCACTTTGATTTTAAAACTACAGTAGTCATGTGAGAGAAATTACACAATACTTAAATAATAATAATATACAGGGGTTGGACAATGAAACTGAAACACCTGGTTTTACAACACAATAATTTGTTAGTATGGTGAGGGCCTCATTTTGCATCCAAATGCAGCATCAGTTCATCTTGGGAATGACAGACAGAAGTCCTTCACAGTGACCAGAGGGTTTATGAGCCGTTCCTCTTCCAGAACAGTGTCCAGGTCACTATATGATGCTGGTGGACTCGCTCCTCCAAAACACCTCAAAAATATTCAGATCTGGTGACTGTGCATGTTCAGCGTCCCTTTCATCTTCATCAAACCCTTCTCTCGCAAGTCTTGCTGTGTGTGTTGGTGCATGATCATGCTGATACACGGTTTGTGCATCAGGTGCTCATGATCCTCCAGAAGGATTTGGTAGTCCTCGGCAGTGTCGTGTCCATCAAATACAATCAGGATTGTCATGATATTGGAGCTCAAACCATCACTGATCCACCCGTGCTTCACTCTGAAGATTGGCCGCCAGGCATATAGATGTGAAACCTCCAACATTGGCCAGTGTTTCAGTTTCATTGTCCAACCCCTGTAAATAGGCATTATACACTACCATTCAAATGTTTGGGGCTCAGTAAGGTTTCATAAAGTTCATGAAAGAAGTGTTTTATGATAACTAAGGCTGAAAAATGGATATATTGTTTTACTGAGTTTGTCAGAGCATTGTGGGTTTGTCTTCTCAGTGAAATGAAATGAAATGCTGATGAATGTCTTATACAGACTCAAAACTATCAAATCTTGGCTTCACATATTCAGTCATTCTCGCTCACACTGCCTCTGTTTCACTCCATCTCTCCCAGGCGGTTCCTTTTGCCGGAGTTTTTGCCGTATGCTGGAATCTTCCATGAACGAGGGCAGCCAGGCCTGGCAACACACTCATCCGTCAATAGGGTCCTCGCAGGTACGTTTGCCCTCTAAAGCTTCTGTTTTCTAATATTAGATGGGATGGTACTCACTGAAGGCTTTGTCAGGGATGGAACTTCCCAAAAATGTTTGAATAATGTCATGTGTCAGGTCAATGACGAGTCCTAATTCGCCCACTCACCCTGCTATTTTGGCTATGAGGGCTCTCAGCTGGGCTCTTTAACAGTAGTTGTATTAGCTTAGACTTTTCTGCATTAAAAGGGTAGTTCAACCGAAAATAAAATATTCTGTCATCTGTTCACTTTCATATCGCCCCAAATATGTATAATTAGCACAACAAGCTTCAGATGCCATATAATACTTAAAGGTGCTCTAAGCAATGTCGGGTGACATGACGTCTTGCTGACGTTTAAAGTATTTTCAAACAAAACGGAGGCTAGATAGACCCTCCCTCTTCCTCATCTGCACTGACCCCCCCCCCCCCATTTGTGGAGCCTGGGTTGTCTGCATAGATCGTGTTTTTTTGTGTGTTTAGGGGACAGGCAGCTAGCGCATAGTGAGGAGATTTTTTTCTATATGTAACAAAAAATGTTTGGGCCTAAAAAACGTGTGACATCGCTTAGAGCACCTTTAACTACTTTTTGGGGGAGTGTTTACACTTTTTTTGCTTGCGAGCTTGTCGTTTGGAAATGAGTAAGCTACTAAACTACTTCAGATGAACCAATTGTCATTTTCAAGTAAACTATGCCTTTTAGTATTAGCCATATATAGCTGCAGTGACATCAACAATGTGTTAGCTACAGAAATATTGTTCCAACTACTGTTTTATTCTTGTTTTTTTTTTGTTTTTTTTTTACCAAACAAAATCTTTCAGAACTAACACACATCCTGGATTCTTCACTTGATTGCAAATATATATGGTTTTTTATTTCTCAAAATAAGTCCTATGTTTTTGCCTTACCTCTTACACCAAACCTACAGTCAACACACTCCAAGGCAACTTTCTAAACACCCTTTGTCTTGAAATATACATCTAGATACACCTGTATGCCCTCATCACAGGGTTATTTAAAAATATTTCTTGAAGCCAGCTACCAGCTGCATCGGATGTGCCGCTGAACATCTTGCATACACAAGTCAACAACTTCCAGAAGTGCGGAAGAACCAAACAGATGTTGTGAATGCATTGTAAATTACTAGACAGAAAAAAAATTGGAAACCACAAGCACAGTTCCCTTTCGAACGGTCACTTCGTATTGCGTGCTGCAGCAACTGCACATCCAATGGCGTGGGCGTGTGACCAATGAGACCACTCTACGTCATTACACGTCAGAGCCCGTCAAGGGGGGTGGCCTCAGCCTATGTTAGTCCCTAAATTCACCATTATAGCGGATTTTGCTCCTTCAGCGACAAACTACACGTCTCTGACGGCTTATCCTATGAGCGAGCCAGGCGCTCTGTGGGCTAATTGTGCAGCTGCAAATGTGTTTTACATAAAGGTTTCAGCAAATCAGGAAAAAGGAGTTTTCCCACTGCGTATAGCTACGCAATACTTCGTTCTCTAACTCAGGGAACTGAGGTTACACGAGTAACCAAGTAGTTCTTATTTTCAACATTACAATTTTTTATCAGCCTTCGTTTGAGTGCTTATGAGGGCGGATGTCCCATACTTCACAGATCCCACTCCCCACATATCCTGTACCAATTCAAAACAATGCAAATATCCACAGAACTGTTTCTCGCTTTTGCATACCAGCATTCTGTCTCCCACACAGAGAGGCATCTTCAGCCCACACTAATTGCAGTGTGTCATACGAGGTTCAGAAATGCCCCTCTCCAAACCCTCTTCAGCTCACACAGAAAAGAGCATCATGACTTCACTTTACAAATCGTCCTCTCCTCTCCTCTCCTCTCCTTGCATGTTCATGTCAATTTTGGAACAGTTATTATTGTCGTCTGACAGATTTTTCTGTGGCAAGATGAATAATGTGCATAAATTAACCCTCAATTATTGTTAAAACAGTGCTTATCTAGTTTTTACTAATTGTTAAGTGCAGTGGTGATGAATTAATCATATTGAATTTCTTAGTTTTTAAATAGAGAATTACTTTACCTAGCATCCAATAATCACTTTAGGGATTCAAGTTCTGTAATGGGGTTGTTTTCTTTGTGGACTCCTATTATATTCTGTTGCAAAGGGTAGTTGCATAGCCATGAGGTATGATTGGCCCATGATGATAAGATGACATGGGAGGACTGTTACTGTTAACTCCTGGGCAAATATCCAAACTGATGGCAATTACCAGCAGACATTCTCCCTCCTTCAAGCATTCTGCTTTTCTAACTGCTCTTAGACAACTTTATACAAGCCCCACAGCACAGAGCGCACACACACACACATACACACACATTCACATTTAGACACAAATTTTCACATACCCAAGATTTCTCTCTCACTCTTTCTGCTATTGCTGTGTATTTATTTTTCTACCCTGAGATCAGGGCTCTTCAATTACTTTCCTTTGAGAGCCAGATTATCCAAATGGAAAATTTAGGGAAAAGGACTTTGAAAAACAACATTTTTTATGTCTAGTCATGTTATTATCAAAAACAAAACTAAACCCTAATATGTATATGTGTGTGTGTACGTATGTGTGTGTGTGTGTGTGTGTGTATATATATATATATATATATATATATATATAAAATAATCTAAAGGATTATTAGGAGCACCATACTAATATTGCGTTTGAGCCCGTTTCACCTTCAGAACTGCCTTAATTCTATGTGGCATTGAGTCAACCAGGTGCTGAAAGCATTTTTTAGAAATGTTGGCCCGTATTGATAGGATACCATCTTGCAGTTAATGGAGATTTGTGGGATGCAAATACAGGGCACAAAGTTCCCGTTCCACCACATCCCAAAGATGCGCCTATTGGGTTGAGATCTGGTGACTCTGGGGGCCATTTTAGAACAGTGAACTCATTGTCATGTTCAAGAAACCAAGTTGAAATGATTCGAGCTTTGTGACATGGTACATTATCCTGCTGGAAGTAGCCATCCGAGGATTGGTACATGGTGGCCATAAAGGGATGGATGTGGTCAGAAACAATGCTCAGGTAGGCCGTAGCATTTAAATGATGCCCAATTGGCACTAAGGGGCTTAAAGTGTGCAAAGAAAACATCCCCACATCATTACACCACCACCAGCAGCCTGCACAGTGGTAACAGGGCATGATGGATCCATGTTCTCATTCGGTTTACGCCAAATCTTGACTCTATCATCTGAATATAGAGAATGAACAGAAATCGAGACTCATCAGACCAGGCAACATTTTTCCAGTCTTCCACTGTCCAATTTTGGTGAGCTCTTGCAAATTGTAGCCTCTTTTTCCTATTTGTATTGGAGATGAGTGGTACCCGATGGGGTCTTCTGCTGTTGTAGTCCATCCGCCTCAAGGTGGTGCGTGTTGTGGCATTACAAATGCTTGGCTGCATACATCGGTTGTAACGAGTGGTTATTTCAGTCAAAGTTGCTCGTCTATCAGCTTGAATCAGTCGGCCCATTCTCCTCTGACCTCTAGCATCAACGAGGCATTTTTGCCCACATGACTTCTGCATACTGGATGTTTTTTTCCCTTTTCACACCATTCTTTGTAAACCCTAGAAATGGTTGTGCGTAAAAATCCCAGTAACTGAGCAGATGTGAAATGTGAAATACTCAGACCAGCCCGTCTGGCACCAAGAACCATGCCACTCTCAAAATTGCAAAACATAGGATGTATGCAGGTTCTTTGGTGTTTCCCACTGTTTCTTTTTACGAGCGCTATACTCAACATGAACAAATAAACTACAACAATGTAATTCTCAATGTCAAAAGTAAGACTGGAGTGAGACTTAATCAAATATGTGTGCTTGGGGAGTAACTGTGCTATGGCTATAGGATATGCTCCAAATATGGCCTGGTAATTGTTGGCCACTGAATGTTTTTGATTTTATCACAGCTGACGCATGAGTTGTATTTACTCTCAAGTGTCAGGCAGCTCTGTCTTATTTAAATCAACCAAAAGGGCAAACAAAGGGCCCACAGGGCTACTTGGTTGACCGGTTCTTCAGTTCTTTCTCGTCTGCCTACTAGAAAGTATACTTGTTTTTATTGAAAATGTTATATTTTTAGTGGTCACTCGATGGATGCGTAGCTTCATATGAATTACATTAAAACTATATTTCTCATAGAAACCAGAAAAATAAAAATAAAATATTTTTACCTAGAGGTTTAGTTTACCCAAAAATGTGGTCATAATTTTCTCGCCCTTATTTTAATGTGATTAAAAGGCTAAATTAAATCTCTTCATAATATAAAGCGATTGTCTCTTCAGAAAATTTAGACTAAACCAATCAATTCATATATATTTATGAATTCTTTATGAACTTTTTGAAGCGTCAAAGTGGCAATTGGATCTTGCGCACTGTTTTCTGTCAGCCTTACTTTCAAAAACGAACAAACCACACTCTCAATTAACAAACAAAAAATGTATCTAGTGATGAAATGTTTTTCTGTGTTGAGACAAATCTTGTGCGATGTCCCAAACTGCCTGGATAATTGCACAACATGTGCCGTGGTCCGTTAATGACACGTCCGATTCGGAAACTAATGACTCTTTTGAACCGATTCACTTTAATGAATGGTTAAAACAACTGATCTGTCCAACACTGAACTCAAGAGACATAAATCGGAAACACTTTACAATAAGATTTCATTTATTAAAGTCTAGTTAACTACATTAGTTAACATTCTGTTAATATTAGTTTCTATGTGGATTTACTCCATGACCAAACCACCCCACTCATTCTAGAATGATTCATTCTTTCCAATTTGAGCTATTCAAATCAAATTGTTGGTGAAATTGTTTTTTTAGTACAGAAAAATAAAATATCGCAATCTAATTTTTTACCAATATTGTGTGGCCCTAATTCTCACTAGGGTTTTCGGTAACACTTTACAATAAGGTTCATTAGTTAACTACATTAGTTAAA